TGTTAATTTAGTCAGCCCCATCGCTCCTGTGATCTGTTGTCATTTTTCCTCATGTTTAAGTATAATAAGTTCCATAGTATAAAATTATTGTTTTTTCATGGTACATATACAAATCCTAGGCTTAAAGAAAGTGAACTAAAGGATATCGTTCATTATAGCTACCTGTTTATAGTTTATATCGTTCTTCTCTTTATTTCCAATTGTATTTGTGGCCAAAAAGAGTCCCATAGGTTAGCTTTACTCATCTTTTCATGTCTTTTAGTTATATCTAGCCCCTTGCCTTCTTTCCTGCTAATATCTCTTGTTCTTGGTAGTCCATGTGGTGTACAGTTGGTCGCCATTTTGTTTTACACGCCTACGCGGTCACCCCGCGTGGGCGGCAGTAATGGCGCCGAGTGCTCTCTAAGTGCCCAAGTGCTTTGATTTCTCTCCCCGTTTTTTCTACAACTGCGCTCTAGTTGTATCATATATCAAAATACCGGCTCTTCAGAGAAAAATACAACAGCAAAAAACCGCTGTCTTTAGCATGTAAAATAAGAAAGTTATTCAAAATCTAAGTTGACAAAGTCAGTGTGATCCTAGTATAGATACATCAGCAAACTGAGGTTGACCACCACTGTCAAGAACGTGGACCCAAGTGGCTTTATGTAGCTCCTTTGATCTCTTCTCTCCCTCTGCCTTCCTCTTATCTTCAAGGAGGCCTAGTATCTCCTTAGTATGCTTCTGCTCCATGATATTATCAATATTAGGCTTGTGTTTTGTAGTCTCATCATCATGAGGTCCAGTGGAGTCTACTGGTCCAGTAGCTGATGACTCTGTCTCTTGTGAAGGACTCTTTGATATTGAATGATGTGAACCATCAGATGAAGAGACTCCAGTAGACTGATCTTCCTTCCTTGTATCGCTGATTGCATCAGAGAGCATCTTGAGGATCTCTTTAGCATCCACTACATCCCATACTTTGCCCTCAGCTAGGTCTGTTATTCGTTCTATAGCTTGTACTGGTCGTGATGCTATTGCAGTACTGTGATGATGCCTTGGAGCCGGCCAGTTGAAGAGGAGTGCCTCAAAGGCTGTCTTACCAACGTTAGGTGGACCCATGAGGACAAGCTTCTTGAGGACAAGACTCACATATCCATCAGTCAATCCATAACGAAAAGCTACATAAAAACATTCTTGTTAAAGTTTGGTTTATGAAATGGAAATAGAAACTATTATATGTCAACTTCATGAGACATTATTGAGCCACACATTATTGAATTGCCCTTTAATAATTATTTCCCAACATAACAGTACTGTACATTGTGTATGTGTAACGACTACATGTATGCCATAAAAAATGTAGTGGTAGAAATTAAATCTAGTTAAAATGTATTATTTTTTAAGCTATAGCTACATGTACATGTACATGTAGTATGATTAAATTTTTGAACAAGCCTACAATTAATAAATTCTGTAATGGCAGACTACATTGTATGTTGGCATAACTACACTGTACACTGTACATGTACAGGTCAATGTAAATTTAAGTAGGCAAATGTAATTTTTGTGTTCCTGCTATACTATGTTCAACTGAGTTTGGACCAGAAGTGGAAGCAGCTGCAAGGAATTTGAAAAATGTAGCTATGGCATGTATGTCATTAATGACATATTATAATGATATTCATAGAGACGTGGCTGATAATTTGGCAGTGTTGTTTCACTCTTAAAACAGTCTTGCTCTTCCTGATAAGCAGTACAATACATGTAGCTACTGGAGTCAACTAGTCTTCATAAAGGCCATCATTATCTAAAGATCTACTCTATTAGAATTTAAAGTCAATTTGTGTGTGACCACTTGCTCTTATGTAAACTGTGACATCACAAAAAATCATTGTGGTTAGCTTTGGTTAAATACATGGTTCATTTTTATCCACAAAATTTTAACCCCTGCCACCCACACATAATTATACTCCATATTCCACTATAGCCACATTGGAAGCTAGTGCTGTAGATCAAAAGTGCTAACTGCCAGCCAGCTTCTATGGAAATTTTGGACAGAATGCGAAATATTAGACCCTCAAATATTACCAACCGTATGGCGTATGGTAGTCTCGCCACGCCCCTTCG